AATGGTGAATGTTGTTAAATTTAGTCAGTTTTCTTTTAATTGAAGCACGTAATTAAACGTACTTACCAAGTATTTTGGTTAAGGTATAAAACAAATTATTAAAATAAGCCAAGAACATAAAATGCAACAGCACAACTTAACAATGTTACTTAACTACTCGTATTATTAACAAGCAACCTAATCCTAAACGAAGCAAAAAATAGAATCATAAAAAAATATATGTTTTTGAATAATAAAGATTAAAACAAAATGTTAAAAAGAGCCCAATTTTACATTCATTTAATTTTTTTCTGTAAAAAATTGTACCACTAAAATTATTGTAATGTACCACAGTTTGAGAACCGGTGCTCTAAAGGCTTTAACGGATATTTGCTGTAACTTTAAACCAATAAGTACGGTGTTTATTCTATATAGTTTAATTGGAATATTGTATTTCTTATAATTTTACATTACTCATACTTATGTGACACTGTGAACGAGGAGGAGACAAATACAGAAATCCTGTGGGCGTTTGCGAGGGACTTGGTTGTAAAAGAGATTTGATGAAACAGATTTTTGAAAAGTGGAATTGGACAAGACTAAAATATTTTCAATCATCATACCGATTTCATTTATTTACATTAAGTCGAAAATGGCCAATATATTGTTTCTCTATAAAGTCTGTTAAAGTTATTTTGGCAGATTAAAACATACTTTGGGGAAATCTGAAAACGTCTCTTAACGGTCTAAGGTACTATTTCGAAAACAATGTTAATTGAATTTGTTATATATTTGTTAATATCTCTCTTTTTTTTTTTTTTATTAAACTTATTTTATTCTCCCTTTCACATTTCGAAATTTAGGTTTATTCCAAATAAAATTCGCCCATCTTTATGATTTATTTTTAAAATTTGTATTTTTAAATAATTTTTATAAACCTTTCCAAAAACGTTTTGAATTATAACCTATAAAATTTTTAACATCGTCTTAAAGTAGATGTATTTCTAAGCATACCTGCAAAAAACTAGATTTTTTTATTCAAACTGTTTAAGATATACATGGTGTGGTGTGGTGTATTTAATTATGGCAAAGCACACTAGGGCTATCTGCCTAAGGGAAGGGATGCCTCCGTGGAGGACTTTCTAATGGAAACTGGCTCGTATACACATTACACAGGGGGAAAACCACGAAAACGCCCACGCAGCCAGCCCGTTCGCGGGATTCGAACCTCGGACCGAGCTACCAGTGTTCAGCGACTTTACCGCTCGGCTGCTGGTGGGCTTAAGATATACATGAATTTACATATTAGTTCGTTTTTAAATTTAGCACATTTGTTATAGGCCATAGCAACGCCAAATGTGGTTTACGCACTTTTTTAAAATTATTTGAAAGTAGGAAGGAAGACTATTTTCCCGCACGTCTGCATTGAAAAAGGTAAATAGTGAATTATTCGTGGTGCAACCGAAAAAACGCGCCTCGTTAAATTTTTTAATTTCTCCGTAATTTTCGCACCAAATTTTACAAAATTTAGTGTTTCGGAATAATTTGAATCGCAGAATTGAAATATGGGAAAAAATTGGCATGCCATTTCAGAAAAAGTCCTATTTTGTGTCAAAATACCTATTTTAGAATAATGCTATATAGAAATCTAATCCTGAGTCGAGCCTTCAAGACATGAAAAGCGGAATTTAAATTTCGTCAATCGGCCCAGTAGAACGGAATATATAGGAACTCCCCCCCCCACAGTGTACATGGAGTATCTTCTGTAATGATCGAAATTTTTAGCTGTCTTTTGTTAACCAAATAGCCTTTCGTGCACAGATGGACAGAACCCCTGAGTGGAACCTCTTAGTGAACTTAAGTTCATCCGCTGAGTACATCACACGAGTGTTTGTGAAAAGATCCTTTTTTAGCTTCTTATCTAGTAATTTCTTCATGATTCCGCAGAATATAGGCTATTCTTTTGAGAAACTGTACATTTTAGGAAATGGGATAATTAATTAAAAAGGAGCACGTAGACTGTCCAAGAAGATATTTTAAACTTTTCACTTTTCATGTGGCAAAGAGATAATCATTAAGGAAATGAGGAAAGAAATGGCAGCTTCTAATTTTGACAACGGAAAGTTTAGGGTAACACTGTTTGTTAACAAGAGACTTGTTTTTCAACTCAGAGCTAAAATTTACAAGCGTTACTTTCTCGAAAATTTCCTAATTACTTTCATCTGGCTTATAGATTCTCACTTCTTTTTCGAACAAATTTCTGCTGCTATTGAAGAAAGAAACATTTTCATCTCATGAATAAAATAATTGAATTTAAAATGTGCAATTAAATCATTAAAGTGAAAACTGTTGTATAAACTCACGAATCAATACTCTGCAAATTTTAAGTGCAGGGACATACAGCATTTAATTATCTCCCTTAAACAATTTATTAGCCCAGAAGACCTATTAATTTCAGTTTCGCATTTTGAGTTGGTTCACTATAAAAGTCTGAATCACTTTTCAAATTGCTGTGACCAAATATTAGAGTCCTGCGTTATATTTAAAGAAATTTAAAAATGAAATTTCTGCATAAATGTATATATATTTCCGGCATTGTGAAAAAACGGCTCCTAGAGACATCAAATTTTGAATAATATTCTTCCACTCAAATATGGGGATCCGGTAGCCCACATTTGGAATTTGTTTTATTATATATTTCATATTTTGCAAAACTTTAACGAATTTATTAACAAACTCGACGATTTCAAAGCATGTGCATAATATGAATCACAACCAACATACTAATGAAGCCTTGGATGAATATTAAGAGAGAACCCATACTGAAATGTGAAAATGACTCTATAAAGTTATAAATTTATATGATTTTTGTCCCTTTCATTACATGCAGATACATTATAGAGTATTATAGAGTTTTTATGGTGGGAAAAAGCAGAGCTTAAATTGCCGGTACTTCTTACCTTTTCGGATAAATCATAATTCGGAGCGCACCAGAGCCCTAAACCAGAAGGCTCCGGCGTTTACGTAGCGGATAAAATTATTTAATTACGTTTATCTTTAATTATTTAACTATTTTAATAGTAATAATTAATTAATTTTATTTAATAAAATAATTGACAAATACTAATTATTAAAATTAATTAAATATTTTACTTTCGTAATAATTAACTATTTAATTTTTAAATTAATGATTTTAATAGTCATTTTATTTATTTCTTTTCTTTGCTGACGGTCTTCCATAGGGCTCCGGCACTTCTAATTTTTGAAATAAAGCCCTGGGAAAAAGAGATAGACAAGCCTTTTGTTTTCCTGTGAAATATAACGGGAAGAAAATGTTTTACCATGCAGGTGGTTTTGTGAGGTTAAGAAATCATATAAGAAATTACTATACTATTAGTTAGTCACAGTGGTATAGCTGGATAAAATAGAATTCTACATTTACCTAATAGTACATCTCCCAACGATTCAGCTAATTCAGACCGTATGTTTGTTAATTGATATTAAGTGAGAAACAAAGTTATTACAGAAACTATTACAGGAAAAAAAAAAAAAAAAAAAGGAAATCGGTATGTCTTCTTTTAAAATATATATATATATATATATATATATTTTAATATCTTAAATGCCTTTAGTTTAATGTGTAGCAGCACTAAATAGTTTTCATTTTACTGAAAAAGAATTCTTTCTGATCACTTAACTAAAAAAATTATCATGCAGGAAGCAAACTCAGTTATGAATTTCTAGTTATTATTGACACTCAAAATCATACGCTTATAAATTATTTAAAATGATTTAAAAGTTTTAAAAATAATACTAAAAACAATAACATTTTCAAAAATTGTACTTGAAACATTTGATTCATTGAAAATAAAAGTCAATGCATCATATGCGGCCCACCAACGGCCAAGCGGTAAAGTCCCTGCACACTGGTAGTTCTGCAATTATATATTATTAAAAAAAAGAAAAGAAAAGACTGCGTTCAATAGTTGAAATTTGAGTTTTCCAATGACTGATGCCAAAAATGAACTAGTTTCCGTTAAAATTCCGCTACTGAACTGGCTACCAGTGTCCGAGCGGTAAAATCGCAGAACACTGGTTTTGCGATCAGACGAACGAGCTGGTTGCATGAGGTTTTTGGGACTTTCCTAATGTATAAAGTGAATATGTGCCCGTTTCTGAGGAAGTACTCTACAAAGGCAACCCTTCTCTTATGCAGACAGCCCTTTTGCGCTTTGGCATAATCCAATAAATCGAAATCCCATACTAACAAATTATGTAACTGACTTTCGTCATAACTAAGAAATCGACATCCAAATAATTGATTGCACGCTATACATTAAATTATTAATGACACTTTAAGAATAAATGGGAAAAAACAAGATATAATTTTCACTGAAACAATATCAGATTAACAAACGTAGAAGAAAATAATTTGATCATTAACTAAGCAATTTTAATACAGGTAACCAAATGCAGTTATTTATCTTCCTTTTTCTAAACATTTTAGATTGTATGTTTCATGAAAAACTATCAATAAAACTTTTAAAAAAAGATTAATTTATTAATGAACTTTGTTAATTAACTATGCAAATTTAAAATTCTATTAAGTGCTATAAGTTGCATTAATATTCTACTCATTTTTAATTTTTAAATACTTAAGTTTCCTTTTTACTTTTTCAACAAAAATTTACCGCGTTTGAAATGCATGGTATCTCACAGACCACGCGTATAGCCAAAAATTAGTACGTCCATTATTGTGAAATAAAATATCTTTATGCAAACAATGTAATGTACGTTAGCTGCAAATTTAATGATCATAAAACCAACTTCATTTTCTAAATCAGATAGTTTTCCATGCCATCAAGAGGATTTTGAAAAAATTCCTGAGACGTTTTACTCAACAACTAAATGCACAAATATCATTGTATTCACTTAAAACATCATATAAGTAATTCTAACTTAGTATTTTTTAATAAAATATTATTTTAAATATATAAAATAAAATGTTATTTTAAATTTACCTCACTATCACTCATGTAAGCTTCATAATCAACAGAATCTTGATTTTTCATAAACTGCGCAAAAGATGAATTACTCTATTTATTAACTAGGAATTAAATTGATTAATAAATTAAAAACAAGAGCATGAAAAATTCCACTTACTTCATCAAACGATCGTTTAGTCATATTTGTAGAAAATTCTTTCAGCAACCTCCTACTCAGACAAGCAAAATCTAGGACTGACTGGCTGTGGCTATCTGTTCGTTCCTTCGGTGCAAAGCTGTTTGGTTCGGTGCAGGTACCGATGACGCAGCGTAGTCGAGACAAAATGGCAAAAGAGTCAAATGTGAGAAGAGGCGTCACCATCGAGATCGATAAGGTCTGCGCTCTGAATGGAAACTGGCTTGTGACGTCACGGTTAAGGGACCCTCAGCAATAACTCACACAATGACACTCCCCGAAACTTTCTTCATATTCTTTGTCCATCTGTCCGTTACCAGCCACCTGTCTCTTAACGCTGTTAAGACATTCTTCTTGTTAAATCAGGGATAAATCATGGAGGTAGGAAGTCCTTTCTTACCTCCATGGGATAAATAGAAGGGCTAGGCATTCCTTTGTTCGACTCCTTGCCGATGCGAGCCTCATGGAGGGTGCTCGCATGAGGCTTTCCTCCAAAATATGAGGCTGGAAGTAATCTGACGTGCCCTGTGTTGCACCTGCTCTGATGTCCCATGTTTAAAACTGTAGTTTCATTCAGTTGCGAGACGATTTTCTGGAGGTCGCATATTCCAAATTAATTTTAATCATACATATTTGTTTTCTAATAATGCAAATATTTAAAATAATTTGTATATATATATATATAGTTTTAATCAGTTTTCCTTTTAAATTCTATATTTAAAGTATCCTGTATGTAATATGGCTTCTTGTGCTGTAGCAACGTGCCGTAACACTTATAGAAATATGAAAGGAAGAGATATTGTATTTCATGCTTTCCCAAAGGACAATTTGCTTTTGACAAAAGAATGGATACATAAATGTCGAAGACAGGATTTTCTATTGATGTGAAAAACGCAAGAATTTGCAGCGAACATTTTACGTGCAGTGATTATGAAGATGACTTGAAAAATCGCTTGCTTGGATTCCGCAAAAGAAACTGTTGAAATGCAATAATGTGCCGAAAGTAAATTTATCATGTGCAGTAAACGAAAGAAATCGGAGACATTTGAAAAGTTATGGACAGTGCTTTTGAAGGACTACACGAATTAAACCCAAAGAAAATTTATTTTGAGGCCGAGAACGAAATTGAAGCTGACAATAATAAATCAAATGTGAATGATTTTGAAATAAATCTCACAAGCGACAATGCCCTAAGTGACAATATCCTAAGTGTAAAGATAAACAAGAATGTATTAATAATTTGAAGAACAAAATAATATCCTTAGAGAAAATTGTAATGAAATATTGAAAAATAGAGAAAAGAAAAATTTTAGAATGTTTGCTCAGCTACAGAGAAGGTGAACGACATATAGAACGAAATTTGTATCAGAAATTAAACTCCCAAACAGCGAAATTTTGGAAAAAACAGCACAGATCGGAGAATTTTGAAAAACGTCTAAAGCATATTTTTACAAAGACGCAGATTAACGCATAGCTAGAAAAGAAGGAAAAAATCAGGTGGACTAGTGAAGATATTTCACGTTGCATTGTCATAAGAGCTCTGTCATCTAAAAGCGCGATTTTTGGAAAGAAAAAATGAGAATTCCTTTACCTAGCACTAGCAAGTGCAGTTTGTTTTAATCAGAGGTCTTCTTTCGCAGTGGAAACAACCAATATTTTTTTATTTTAACACTCCAATGAAGAAAGAATTTCTTTTTTCACTTATAAGACATATTCAATCATGTGGAGTAGGAGTGAAAGCAATATTGTCTGATTTAGGAGGATCTAGTACTTTGTGAAAAGAGTTACAAATTTCGATTAATAGTTCTCAGTTTCCAATCCAGTATTGCAAACGAAAAAAAAAACATGGATTTTTGCAGATTTAGCGCACTGCCTCAAATTACTGAGAAACCACTTTTCAGATAAAGGATTTGTTTTAGAAGATGGAACTGTTTTAAATGTTGATATTAATAAAGAGGTTTTAAAAAGGGATTCAGGATAAATTAAATTGTGTCACAAATTAAAACCAAATTATTTAATGGTCAAGGGAAACGAGAGGACGCTCCAGCAAAAACATTACTTTCAAGAACTTCCACAAAAGGTAGACTCCACCTCACAGGAAATCAAAAAGCATCCGACTTCTTTGAGTTAATCGGCAATTTTTTCGATGTTATGAATAGTACTAAGCCATACTCTCCTTCGGATAAAATACTTAAAGCAGCATTTGGATTAAATGAACATCATGAAAAACAAATTCAAGTTTTGGAATTAATGAAGAAAGTCATTGGTGAATTAAGAGTTCAGGGAAAATCCAACCTACTGCCATTCCAAAAAGGAATAATAATTTCAATAAATTCTCTTTTCGGCCTACACCAGGATTTGAAATCATTATATGATACTAAATATATTTTAACCTCTAGATTAACTCAGGATGCACTTGAAAAGTCTCTTTAGTCAGATTCGAGGGCTTGGGTAGGTTTAATAACCATCCATCACCTAGTGAGGTTATACGCCGCTTAAAGCAATTAATACTCGCTAATAAGCTGCCAAATTTATCTTCAAAAGTGTGCATGACTAAAGAGAGCAGAAGTATTGATTCATATTTAACATCAGAAATACTTGAAAGGGCTTTGATAACTGAGGAGGAAGATGCTTTTCCATTAAATACTATTGATGATTTGGATTTCATAGAGGAATCTTCTACTATGGCTTGGGAATTAGAATTGAATTCCTGCAGACAATTTTCGACCGCCGAAAAAGAAGCATTAACATATGTTGCAGGTTATATTGCCTACCGTGTGTGAAACAAACACCCATCATTGGGAACAATATCTAAAAATAGTGCTGATGAACCAGTATTTAATTCAGAATGGATTAAATTATTGTCCTTAGGAGGTTTGACTACACCTTCCCATTCATGGATGTTTACGAGTTTACGAGTTCGAAAACATATTTTGTGCAGTTCATGGTACAACTTACTATAAAGGGAAGCGTGTAATTGGCTCTTTAATTAATAAACTGGAGAAACATTATCCTGAAGTTAACAGAGAATCCATTCGTTTATTTTGCAGAGTGCGAACTTTTATTAGAATACGTTTCTTAAATAGAAATGCATATGTTTTTTCCCAAAGAAAAACAACCCAAAAGGTAAAAAAGTGGATTGCTTCGAATGTGGCAGCCAATAAATAATATTTCAACAACTTGTAGTTGCATTGCGACAAGTAAGCATATATAATATGTTTTGATTTGAAAAATTTCTAGATGACATTTTAGAAGTAAATAGCGTAAAGCATATTTCAAATGAGAACTAATTTTCTAAAGTTATTGTTAAAGTTATTTTTATTGTATCCTGTGTTACAATATCTGCATGAATGTATTGATTCGATTTTGTGCTAGCTTAGCATTCTAGATAAAATATAATAGTATAACATTAAAGTAATTGGCATAAGAAGACCTGTCTCCTTAACCCCCACTTTTGAAAAATTAAAATAATTTTTTTAGGTACTGTGAGTAAAGTTGTTTTGTCTAAATTAAGATAACAATCTTACATGTATTTATTTAAATGTAATATTGATGTAAGCCTAATTTACAAAATTATTTTAAAAAATATATGTTATTATATTGAATCGGGAGAAAAATATGACAATGTAAAATTTACAATTAGGCTGAAACTCAAACTTAGATTAGCAGAAATTTTGCCATATATAACCATACATGTTTAAAACTATGCTAATTTAAGGTTGTTTTTTGATTCATTTTAAATAGCTGTTATTATAGATATCCTAGAAGCAGTAGTAGAGTTTTCCTAGTTAACGTGCAAATAAAGAAATGATTAGAAATAAACAGGCATTTAAAGAAAAATCCCAGCAAATTAAAAAAAAAAAAAAGAAAAAGAACTTTGTGCTATAAGTAGCGCATTTTATATGTTATTTTAAAACTGAAGTACTATTAAATCTTTTAATGTTCAGTGTAAAATGCATACTGCAGTAGCATTGTCTCTACCAAATTATAGCTATCTTTCACACACAGGCCGAGCGGTAAAGTCGCTGAACACTGGTAGTTCGAATCCCGCGAACGGGCTGGCTGCATGGGCGTTTTCGTGGTTTTACCCATGTGTAACGTGTATACGAGCCAGTTTCCCTTAGAAAGTCCTCCACGAAGGCATCCCTCCCTTTAGGCAGATAGCCCTCGTGTGCTTTGCTATAACTAAATACAACACACCACCTTTCACACACAGCTCATTTTGAACGCTGGTTCTTCAAATTTAAAACGCTAATTTCTATGTTGTCAGTTGCATCTCCGCGCTCAGTGTCATCATAGCTACATCAATCACTCCTCACTGCCTGTTTCAGGTGGAAAAGCTCTTTGAGCTAGCTTTTCTAAGTCCTCTTGTTAAATGCATAGATTTCATTAATTTTATTAACATTTGTGCATTATTCATTGCCTTTTCAAGTTAATTGCTTATTGATAAGTTTTCATTTCTGCATATTTTCGTGCGAAATTGTGTTATCGAAATTATGCCTTCCCGTTGTATTGTTCCTGGATGCAAAGGAAATTATGATAATGGTCCTCGTGTGAGAGTCTACAGTTTTCCATCTAATTAAATGTTAAAGAAGGAATGACTTAAAGCTATACCTCTGAGCAATTTCAAATTAACGGAAGCTTCAAAAGTTTGCGAACTTCATTTCAAAGATGAAGATATTGAGATGGAGACAAGTGCATATGATCCATCCTCTGGAAAAAAAATAAGTGCACTTCTTTCACGTTCTCGATTAACGAAAGAAGAAATACCATCTTTATTTCCAGGTTGTCCTGCATATTTTACCCTATCAGAAACAGAATCGAGAATCTCTGCATGATAAAAAATGTACGATTAATCTCTCTCTATCTATCTCGATGGTGACAGAAGAAGGGGGTGACCATGCATTGCAAAGGCTCTAAAAACCAAGCAAGATAGAAAGCGAACAATGGAGATGCAAGACGGTAAATCTAACAGCTGGCGTAATATGCTGTGAGGGTACAGTGAGAATTTGAAACGAAAATTCAAACGTGAAAATTAATGCGTAAATATAGGTAAAAATAAAGAAACATAAGATACGGGAGAATACATAAAAACTAAACGAACAGTACATTTACAATGTGCAATCAAATAATAAGGGTTTGGTTTATTGAGCCCAAATAATAAGGGAGCAGATATGTTGAGAACTTATGAGATAGACATTCTGCGTAGGGAAGTTTTAAGTCTCTGGTCAGGTGAGTTGCGAACGGTCTAATTTCAAAGTCCTGCTCTGAGTAATCAAATACGTTGAAGTGCTTCATGTGAGCTTAAGTAAGCGCTTTATCGAAAAAGTTTTTATTCGTCCTGTGTAGATAACTATTTACATATTCAATATTGAGATCCTTGTGCAGGGTTTCATTAGATACATAATAATGCGCATTTGTAATCATACGTAACATTTTATTTTGCAAAACCTGTAGCTTTTGCATATCTTTCTTGGTATATGCGGTCCAGGCAAGCGAAGTATAGGCTAACACAGGTCCAATTATAGCTATGTAGATATGCCTTTTCTTGTGAAAGTTTAAACCAGAGTACTAT